TTATTTGTTGAGCTATTTTTGAAGATGAGAGGACTTTTCGTTCTTTCTCTAGCTTTAAAACAGTTTCTTATTATAATAAGAAATAAGAAATACGGCTATTACTATTAGCATTCTGTATCCTTATTAACACAAATGAGTTTTTGTTATCTTTTGGGATCTTGTTGGTTTGGGAGTCATTCAGGATCTAGATCTAGATATCTAGATCTATACTTCCTTAATATTATCGAAGTGTATACAGACCCGGTAACCGGGAACAAAGTCACGAAGTATACAGACCCGGTAGGGGAACTCTTTTGTGATTTCGGAAAGTTTCAGCGCCCAGACCCGGTTGTGAGTGTGGTGTGTGTGTGCGTGTGTGTGTGTGTGAGAGAGAGAGAGAGAGGTGCTAGCAAAATGTATGACATGCCCCAGTTTGCAGGAGGAGGGAACGAGAGAAAGACAGTGGGAAATAGGTGGAGAGAAAGAAAGACATAGACAAACAAAGAAAAAGAGAAAGCGAGCAATACAGAGAGAGAGAGAGAGAGAGAGAGAGAGAGAGAGAGAGGCAGAGAAATAGAGAGGATGACTGCTCGATTGAAATTAAATGACATTGTTCTTTTCTTCAAATTGTGATTCCTCCAACTCCAAAGCGGAGGAAAAACGATCGTTCACCGAAAAGACATCCGCAATCTTCATTTAGATCTAGAATCTAGATCTAGACTAACCTCGAAACTAGATCAATGATTTATGTCTGTCTGTCTAGATCTAGACCAAGGCCATCGATCTAGAAGAAGAACCTAGATTCTAGGTCTACCCTGAGCCACAGAATTCTACACTTGTGTAGAATTCTGTGCCCTGAGCCAAGAGGGCGCTGAAACTTTCTGAAATCACAAAAAAGAGTTCCCCTACCGGGTCTGCATACTTTGTGACTTTGTTCCCGGTTACCGGGTCTGTATACACTCCCTAATATTATAGTAGAAATTGACTTACTTTCTGGTATAAAATATAATATTAACGTAAGCCTTAGAAAACGTATAATTATAATATAAAATAATTTCTCTGATGTTTAATGGGGATTTTGCTTAAATTTTGCATTTTCATTTAAAATTATCATTTTTGTGGATTGGGGGGGCGCCAATCACAGGGGAGATAACTCGCAATTTTGTGGGCAAATAATAAATGTTCTAGGGGAAATTTTATATGCCTCTGTGGGCCAATAAGCACTCCGTTCTTTATGACAGTAGGGAACTGACTTTTAAATCTCGTTCCTAACCTATACCTTATATTATAAATCTAATTGAAGGCCACCGCTATTCTCACCCGGTGTGCGTTCACCATTATAGCCTAGATCTAGGCCAACCAATTTTGCGTTCACCCTGAACCACAGAATTCTACACTGTGATAACAGAAAAATTGTAGAATTCTGTGCCCGTGAACAAACGTAGCCTAAAAGCATACAATTTTGGACGCTTTTTCGGTAGTTCCCACCCCGCAATTGTTATTCGCAGGTTTAGGCCCCAAGAGTAGGGGGGTTTCAGGGGGGCTTGTCCCTGACCTAATACAAATAAGGTGGGGGGGTTTCAGGGGGGCTTGTCCCCTGACCTAATACAAATTAGATGGGGGGTTTCAGGGGGGCTTGTCCTCTGACCTAATACAAATAAGGTGGGGGGTTTCAGGGGGGCTTGTCCCCTGACCTAATACAAATAAGGTGGGGGGTTTCAGGGGGGCTTGTCCCCTGACCTAATACAAATAAGGTGGAGGGTTTCAGGGGGGCTTGTCCCCTGACCTAATACAAATAAGGTGGGGGGTTTCAGGGGGCTTGCCCCCTGACCTAATACAAATAAGTGGGGGGGTTTCAGGGGGGCATGCCCCCCTGAATTTTACCACAATTTAATGTTTTGCAGTTAGGTTTGATATCTTAGCTCGCCGCGAATCAAACGTATAGATCTAGATGTAGGTCAGGCTCAAATAAGGGGGGTGGGAACTACCGAAAAAGCACCCAATTTTGTCTGTGGGCAGTGGAGAGAGAGAGAGAGAGGAGTAGCGCGAGAACTTCCGGGCAAAACAAAATGGCGACCCGCGTAGTTCGGCTTGATTAGAAAAGTTAAATAGCCGTAGCATCTTTATAGACGACCAAATTAATTTACTTTTGTGTTTTAACATCATTTTTAAACTTTGTTTTGGTCAATTTGATCGTCCACACCGATAGACAGTATTCAGAAAGAGACAGAGAGAGAGAAGAGTGGAGGAGTAGATCTTGTGAGTGGCGACCCCCGTAGTTCGGCTCGATTCGAAAAGTGAAATATCTATAGCATCTTTGTAGACGATCAAATTAGCTTACTTTTCTTGTGCTATAACGTAATTTTTTCTTTGCTTTTATCCATTTGATCATCTACACCGATAGAAAGTATTCCGAAATTAGGAAAAACAGGTCTTGTTTCACACCGGGTGAAAATAGCCAACGATGGCAAGTCTCACCCGGTTTGAGAGGTCGATCGTATTTTTTTTCTCACCCCGGGTGAGGATAGCCACCGTGCTCATTGTAACACACACATCCGGCAAATATAGCATAGACTAAATCTAGATCTATTATGATGTCGATGTGTCATGTAGGAGTGCTTTGATGACAATTGCATGCAGACTTGAAATCATGATCATGAGAATATCTCTCTACTCTATTTGACCATTATGGATACACAAATCTCTAACTTTAATGAAAAACTAAATGCGTCACTAGCCCCATACCATAGATGTTTTAAAGAAAAATGTGTAGATCTGTGGTGTCAGTGAGACCTCCTGACGTAAGTTTCCTGCCAGTACAAGTGACCGAATGACCGAACTCCTCTACACTCGGCCTTTGTGTTCTCCACAGATACTTGACGTAACAATGTCAGTCACTACCAAAAAGAAGCACGTGACGAAGGAGGTCCTGGAGGAATATCCCTTGCCAGAGGGGAGCCGACAAGTGGTCAAGGTTGGATATGTCTTTTTTTTATTGTGCAGTATGTGTAAATTGTCGGTAGCTTTGTGGAAGATTGCTTTATATGTGTTTGTATTTGCTTTGGATGTTTTGCTATGTAGATCTAATCTTAATCTGCTGGAAACTCTGATTGTAAAGGAATATAATATTTAGAGAAAGACTCGTATTTGGGGTCTTGGAGTGGTAGGCATGTGTGAGGATGTCGTCTTCATGTGTCCAAAAGTCTTTTTTGTTGAGAAAATGATTTAGAAAAATTGTGCTTGTATAGCAGGTGTGGACATGGAATATTGCAGACCCGCCGACTGTCCAAAGTTTAGCACATATGGTATTTTTGAGAGGATGTTTTACTGTCAGACTTAACTACTACTTGGACCGGCCAAATTTTTATCTTTTTTTCTGTCATTTGTCATCTTTATCCCCTGCTTAATTTGTCTGTGACCATGACCTTGTTACATGGTACACGACACACCTGAACTAGTCACACGTGGCGTGTCATTTTGTTGGTTGTCATATAATCTGATGTTATAATTATAGTGTTGGGTGTCCCTGATTAGGTTATGAACAAGTTGGCGAGCCTGATGTTGGTGAATGTTTATATTGATGTACTCTCTGTGCAGGTTGTGGCGTCCAGAGGGAACAATTTACACGAGGTTGTGACGAGCCGAGGGGAGAAGTTCCTGGTGAGCATGCCCTCCAAGTTCAGGAAGCACGTGTGGATCAAGAGAGGTACGTTCTGATGTTCTATTGGGGAAAAAAAGCATCTTTATCTGTCCTCCTCCTTTTTTGTGTTTGATACTCTCCTGTAACACCTCTACTCTTCGGCACTTATATGACCATATTGTGTTGCAAGTAGCGTATAGCATTTACTATTTAAAAAAAAGAAAGAGGTATGTTCTCTTATGAAAAAAAAGCTATTTTCCTATCAAGGTTGATTGTTTGTGCAGGTTGTTGGAAGGCGCCACCGCTAGTTCCTTCTTGTTTCTTCCCCCGTTTTTTCCGTTTCTCTTGCTGTCTCTCTGCGTTAGATTGTAGGTTATCATGTACATGTGTTTTCCTTACTCAAATGAAATAAAACGATTTTGTTGCATTGTTTTTGCTTTGTAAGTTGTTTTTGTGGACTTTTGGGTAAATTTCATTATTAGTTAGACTGACCAAATTGTTTTCTCATAGTTTTCCCAGTTTAATTAAAATTGAGTCGTTTAGAGTGTCGTTTGTTGTGCTTGATGTGTTGACCACTTCGTTGATCGTGGTCACAATCGAGATTGGAATCCCGAGTGAAGCAAGAATTGTTTTCCTCCTTCGTCACTTCTCTCAGCTGTCTGCTCCTTCACAACAGAGGATGATATCTTGTTGTATTGGTCTTCAGTTTTTTCATGTCATGTGATAATGTGGTGTACATGTACCATTTTTTGAATTACGTGTATAAAACTGAGCTAAACATGAAAGACCTGAGCAGACCCTTGTAGAATATGTGAATGTCTTGTCCCTCTCTCTTGCCCCATTCTCTCTCTCTCTCTCTCTCTCTCTCTCTCTCTCTCTCTCTCTCTCTCTCTCTCTGTCTCTCTCTCTCTCTCTCTCTCTCTCTCTCTCTCTCTCTCTCTCTCTCTCTCTCTCTCTCTGTCTCACCCTCTCTGTCTCTGTCTCTCTCTCTCTCTCTCTGTCTCTCTCTCTCTCTCTCTCTCTCTCTCTCTCTCTCTTTCTTTCTTTCTTTACCTCCCCCTCCCTCCCTCCTTCTCGTTCCCTTATCATGTGGCCAGGCTCACAGATATATTTGTTTTGTCAGTGGCACTACACACGACACATGACTAGATTCTTGTTAACTCTTGGATTCTGTCAACAGGAGACTTTATCCTGGTGGAACCCATCGAAGAGGGCGACAAAGTGAAGGCAGAGATCTCACACATCTTGTTCAATGAGCAGATAAAACACATACAGGAGCAAAACTTGTGGTGAGTCATGGGCACAAGAAGATAGGACTAACGCTTGTTGCACTGGGGTTGTTTGCCATTATTGTATTTCATAAGACAAAAGTAAAAACTCAGTTTCTAGATGAAGAAGGTTGATTTAATAATGACAATGGTATGAGGTCTGTCCTCTCTGGCTTCACTGACAAGACTAAAACATAATGAGCATGAGTACATGTGATTAAAACAGGAAGGAGGAGTGAGTAAAGATCACTAAGATCAGACAATCTTTGTTGTGAGGGAATAAATAAAATAAAAGTACAATTACAGGGACAGAATTCAACTTAATCATGGTAATATAGAGACCAACGATCCAGGATTTATTGTTGCCCTTCTATATATTGATAAAAGCAATCTAATAGTCTAACAATGCTAACCATCTACGGGAGTCTGCACCTTTATCAAAATTTTAATCAGCGCTTAAAACGCGTTTGTTTCAGTCCAGCTTCAATCTGTAATTTTCGACATTCCCAATACAAATATTATTACGTTTTCTCAGTATCTATTATATTCTCTCATTATCGTTTATTCATGCTGTTCTGTTCTGTAAAAATGTATGACTGTGTGAATTCATCAATGTGTGTGAGGGTGTCTGGGTAAGCTTTGTGGGATTGTCTTTACTCAAGGATATACTGAAGAGAGAGAGAGACAGACAGAGAGAGAGAGAAAAGAGACAGAGTGAGAGAGAAAAAGGATTACTATAGGAGCAGTGCGCTTCATATGTTCTTTGTATTATATTGTACAGCGCATTGAGCACTTCTTTGTGGAAATGCGCTATATAAATGCAATTTATTATTGTTATTACTAACGCAATCACCCATCATAATTCATCATCACCATTCTTTTTAAAGTCACCATTGCTCTCAGATCAATGACTTACATCTACATCTATAGTCCTGGAATCTCTATCTGTAACAGTTATTTGTCATACTAAGTATGCACGTAATACACTATTGGACACTATCATACACAGTTTTTTCTACTAATCAGATGGCGTCAATCTCATAGAAATGGGCAAGGGATGAAAAAAAAGGTGTGGGCGTGTTGTGAAATGGCATGTGTTATGAAGGGTTAAATTGGGAAATGTGGTTTTTTTTAGTAAGTGTTTACGGCTCTCGCAACAGCCATTGCGCCTAGGGGTGGATGTCGACAGACGGGGAATCTGGCTTGCTCTGCCGACCTCTCTAGCCTCAACAGCACAAAGTCCGCTCATATGATTTTATGCAGTTGCGAGCGCCCTAAAATCTTACTTAAACTAAAACTAAAACATCTTATCTGATCTCATCTTGTCTTGTCTCGTCTTATCTTATCTCATCTCATCTCATCTGATGGTTTGTTGTTCCAGGCCGAAGGAGTTCTCAGAGAGATC